TTTTCATGTAGGTATTATCTATTAAGACATCACTTTTGTTTAATTTATTTTTCTGCATATAGTCTTTCTGACCTGTCAATATTCTTAGTGCAGTCAGATATCAATCTGGGGCAATTCAGATAATGTATGCATTGAAAATCTTGCTCAGTTACAAATTAAATTTTTCATAATTTATTGTTATTTATTCAGATATGAAACAACTAGCTTTAATTGTTGATCTCCTTTAAGTCCATCTCAATCCTTTCTGAATGGAGTCATATTTTTTAGCAAGAATCTGTTAGGCATTGTCACATGTATGATTTAATTTAAACTTCACAGCAGCTCGTCTTGAATGTTATACTTATCTTCATTTCTCAGATGAAGAAGCTATGACAAAGTTGAAGAATTTAATCTAACAAAACTAAAAGTGGTAAAAACTGGGACTGGATTCCAGTTTTTCTAACTTCCTACATTAATCTAATTAATACTTGAATCTTAAAATGTGAAGTGTAACTTGCCTGTTGAACAATCTTGTAAAAATAATAATACAAAATACACACAAAACAGACAACAGGATGCCTCATACAGAAAGTTCACATGAGATTTCCTATGATATTATATTGGTATATGTATTCATGTTTAGACACTTCTGTGCAGTAATTTACAGAATCATTGGGAAATTGTTTACTAGGAAATAAAAAACGTTAGAATCCTTGAGGTGGGGAAGAGAGTTGAAAAAGAAACTGGTAGCAGGACTCTAAGACATTGAATGGACCCTATAAATATGTAGTCCAACATTCTAATTTTACAGACAAGAAAATTGAAGTCTAGAATATAAAAGGAGACTTTAAAAAATGGCGGTTTAATCTTGTTAAACCATCAGCTGCCCAGCCTCAGGTATGACGTAGAACTATTACTTCGGAAAAAGTACTTGGGAAAGCGATCTATAAGTGATTTTATGTTATCAGCTGCTTTAGTAAGGTAAAAGTTAATATTATAAGACCAAGTCTTTCAACATCCATTTGTGATAAAAACTCTTAAGAAAGTTGGAATAGGGGGAAGATACCTCAACACAATAAAGGCCATGTGTGACAAAACCTGCAGCTAACATCACACTCAATGGTGAAAAGCTGAAAGCTTTTCCTCTAAGGTCAGGATCAAGACAAGGACGTCCACACTCACCAATTTTATTCAACATACAGTAATTAGGGAAAAAAAGAAATAAAAGACATCGAAATGAGAAAGAAAGAAGTAAGACTGTCACTATTTGCAGATGACATGATAAAATATGTAGAAAACCCTAAAGACACCACCAAAAAACTGTTAGAACCAATAAATGAATTCAGTAAAGTTTCAGGATACAAAATCAATGTACAGAAATCTGTGGCATTTCTATACACTAATAAACTATCAAAAAGAAAAATTAAGAAAACAATTCCATTCATAATTGCGTCAAAAAAGAATAAAATACCTAGAAATAAATTTAACCATGGAGGTAAAATATCTGCTACACTGAAAACTATAAAACACTGAGGAAACAAATTGAAGAAGACACAATTAAACGGAAGAACATTTCATGCTCATGGATTGAAAGAATTAATTTTGTTAAAATGTCCATACTACCCAAAGCAATCTATAGATTCAATGCAATCCCTATCAAAATTCCAATGGCATTTTTCACAGAACTAGACAAATAATTCTAAAATTTGTGTGGAAGCACAAAGACCCCAAACAGCCAAAGAAATCCTGAGAAAGAACATAGCTCGAGGCATCACATCCCCTGATTTCAAACTATATTACAAAGCTATAGTCATCAAAACAGTATGATATTGGCATAAAAACAGACACATCAATCAATAGAAGAGAACAGAAAGCCCAGAAAAAACCCACACATATGTGGACATTTAATTAACTACAGAGGAGCCAAGAATATACAGTAGGGAAAGGATATCTCTTCAATAAATGTTGTTGGGAAAACTAGATAGCCATATGCAAAAGAATGAAACTAGACCACTATCTTACACCACACACAAAATTAACTCAAAGTGGATTAAACAATTGAATATAAGACCTGAAACCATAAAATTCCTAGAAGAAATCATAGGTGGTTAGCATCACGTTTTTCAGATCTGACTCCAAAGGCAAGGGAAACAAAAGCAAAAATAAACAAGTGGGACTTCATCAAACTAAAAAGTTTCTGCACAATGAAGGAAACCATCAACAAAATGAAAAGGCAGTCTACTGATTGGAAGGAGATATTTGCAAATTATATACCTGATAAGGAGTTAATATCCAAAATATATAAAGAACTCATACAACTCAAGAACGAAAAAACAAATTACTTGATTAAAAAAATGGGCAGAGGATCTGAATAGACATTTTTCCAAAGAAGACATACTGATGATCAACAGGCATGTGAAAAAATGCTTGGCATTACTAATTATCAGAGAAATGCAAATCAAAACCACAATGAGGTATCACTTCACATCTGTTAGAATGGCTATTACCAAAAAAAACAAGAAATAACTAGTGTTGGAGAGGACATAGAGAAAAAGGAATCCTTGTACACTGTTAGTGGGAATGTAAATCGATGTGGCTGCTATGGATAACAGTATGGAGATTCCTCAAAAAACTAAAAATAGAACTTCCATATGATCTAGCTATTCCACTTCTGAGTATTAATCCAAAGAATAGGAAAACACTAATGTAAAAAGATATATGCACCCTATGTTCATTGCAAGATTATTTACAATAGCCAAGATATGGAAACAACCTAAGTGTCTACCGATGGACGAATAGATAAAGAAGTTGTAGTATATACATACAATGGAATACTACTCCACTATAAAAAAAGAAGGAACTCTTGCCAGTTGCAATAATATGGACGGACCTTGAGGGTATTATATTAAGTGAAAAAAGTCAGATGAAGAAAGACAAATACCATATGATTTCACTTATATGTGGAATCCGAAAAACAAAAAAATGAACAATCAAACAAAAACAAACTCACGATACAGAGAACAGAATAGTGGTTACCAGAGGGGAAGGGAGTTAGGGGGTGGGTGAAATGGGTGAAGGAGGTCAGTTATATGGTGATGGATGGTAACTGGACTTATGGTGGTGATCACTTTGTAGTGTATACAAATGTCAAATTATATTGCTGCACACCTGGAACTTGTATAATGTTATATACCAATTTTACCTCAGTGATCAAAAAAACTAACTCTTTCTTGGATTATTATGTTGTGATAGAAACAGAACAAATATCCTATTGGAAGGTAAGCATATTCTAAGGAATAATAAGGTAATTGCACAAAGATGACTACTGTGCAAGAATATTTATTTGATCATTATCTATATAAGGAAAAAATGTTTACCATCTAAATTACCAACACTAAGCAACTGGCTAAATACATTATGGACCCATCCATAGAATCAAACACTGTTTGACCCTTAAAAATGATTTTGTAAAGGAAATTCTTGGTGATGCTGGATGTGTCTGTTACCTTGGTTGTGATGTTGGTATCATGGGTGTTTGTATATGTCCAAACTTGTCAAATTGTAGACCTTAAATATATACATTTCTTTGTATTTCAATTATACCTCAAAAAGTCTGTTTTTAAAAAATGATTGTGTAGATTTCTAATAATTGACATGGAAAGATTATTATAAAAAAGAAAAATAAGAAAAAGCTGGTTATACAATAATATGTTAGCATGATTTATTTTAGATACATATGTATGTAATTTGAAAAGGACTGGAAATATATATACAGTCATGCACTGCACAATGATGTTTCAGTCAACAACAGACCACATATACGACAGTGGTCCCATAAGATTAGCACCACATAGCCTAGGTGTGTAGTAGGCTACACCATCTAGGTTTGTGTAAGTGCACTCTATGATGTTTGCACAACAACAAATCATCTAACAACACGTTTCTCAGAACATATCCATGTCATTAAACAACACATGACTGTACACCAAAATGTTGTCACTGTATCTCTAACAGGTTTGATTACATTTTATAATTTTCTTTTTTGCATTTGCATTTTCTAATTCTTTGCACTGAAAAATGCACTTTTGTAACAGGAAAACTTTCAAATAAAAAATGAAATAGAAAGGAAAGCTTTTTTATCTTGGGGAAGGGGTAGAAGAGAAGGTGGGAAAAGGAAAATGAGGGCATCAGCTGTAACTTATTTATTAAGGAAGAGAGAGCTAAGTGAAATCTAGACAAAGGTTTTATGATTTCAACTGATCAAGTAAATTGAGTAAGCTGAATTACCTCTACTTTACCTCCCTGTGTGTAATTTGTACCTCTCTGACTTTATCACATTGTATAATGTTCTCTTAAATAATCAGGCAGATATATGATGTAAATATCACACACTTCATAGAACTTGCAGGAAGTAGGTTTTGGACACAGGGCATAATCTAATGAGAAGAAACCCATTATTCCCTTTTGATGTGTCATCTAAGTTATTAGTGGGAACCATATGTCATTGTTCCTTTCAGAAATCCCTGATCTGTTTCCAGAGATCTATATATGCCAGGAAAAGAATTTAAGAATTGGGAGACTCTGGAGATCACCAAATATCAGAAAAAAATAAATCAACCTGTATCTCTTACTCGTGGCAGGTCACTAAGGTCAACTGCCAAACTTTCAGTGATTGTAAACTTCAGAATAATAGGAAGGAGTTCTAGTTAAAGTATGAGTGTGTATATTAGCACATTTTTAGCTGGGAAAATGAAGCTTAACAAGTTGAAAAGAAGAGAAATTTTATTTAATGAGAAGGAAGCTGACAGGTTTTTTTTAATCCAGTCTTATCCCTTCATTTTACAGAAAAAATTGTGTCTAAATGACATTTGACTTTCCCAAGCTTGCACAACAGTGACTTTCAGATGAAGGACTATATCCCATGAGTCATCTCCCAAAATAAGGCAGTTCCCACAATAAATTTTCAACAGATATTTATAAAATTACTTTCTAGGCTGATTTTCCTTTTCTTGTTTCTTCAGAGAGATCATGCCCACCACATAGTAACAGCCATGGGAAATTGGAGCACAGTGACCGAATTCACCCTGACTGCCTTCCCAGCTTTCCTGGAGCTTCGGATACTCCTCTTTGTGGTTCTCCTGTTGACTTACACCTTAACGGCAACAGGAAACATTATCATCCTCTCCCTAATATGGACTGATAACCGCCTTCAAACTCCAATGTATTTTTTTCTCAGTAATTTGTCATTTTTGGACATTTTATTCACAACTACTATTGTCCCAAAGTTACTAGCTTGCCTGTTAGAAGAGAAGAAAACCATACCTTTTGCTGGCTGCATCATCCAAGTTTATTTCTACTTCTTTCTGGGGACAGTGGAATTTATCCTCCTGGCAGTGATGTCCTTTGACCGCTACGTGGCCATCTGTAACCCCCTGCGCTACACCATCATCATGAACAGCAGGACCTGCCTCCTGCTGGTTCTGGGCTGCTGGCTGGGAGCCTTTCTGTCTGTGTTGGTACCAATCATTGTAGTGACAAGGCTACCTTATTGTAGCAAAGAAATCAATCACTTTTTCTGTGACATTGCTCCTCTTCTACAAGCGGCCTGTGTAGATACTCACCTCATTGAGAAGATGAACTTTCTCCTATCTGCCCTTGTCATCTTGAGTTCCCTAGCGTTCACTACTGGGTCCTACACCTACATCATTTCTACCATTCTGCATATCCCGTCTGCCCAAGGCCGTGAAAAAGCTTTTTCTACCTGCGCTTCTCACATCACTGTCGTCTCCATTGCTTACGGGAGCAACATCTTTGTATATGTGAGACCCAATCAGAACTATTCACTGAATTTTGACAAGATAGCTGCTATCCTCATTACAGTAGTGACCCCTCTTCTGAACCCTTTTATTTATAGCTTGAGGAATGAAAAGGTGAAAGAAGTGTTGAGAGAGGCAATGGACAGAATCATGTCCTTGATACTAAGGAAAACTAGACGTTAGCGTTTAGTATATCACACATCATTTCTTATCTTCAACACATTCATTCTGCACGAATATTGTGCCATGTCAGCATATCAGAAGCCTGAGACTGTGTCAACAGGATGAGCAATGCCACACCAACCTGGAAAAAAAAATCTAATCCATGAACTATCTTGTATATGCATAGCTTAAAGCAGTGAAAAGTTACCTAACTGGGATTCAGAGGTCTCCAAATCTAGCCTTGGCTAAATCAGTTTATTTTGCAGATAACTGTCACCACGTCAAACTTATCTGAGCCTCAATGTCTCCAACTCTAAATGAAATAATAGATAATAAAGTATCACTATTTGTAGTGAGACCTATAAAGTTAGAGAATTTTAACTTCTTGGTAGGCATTCAAATATTTCGAGAGACTCAGTTTTCACCTCTATTAGCCAGATCAAATAAATATCATGTGAGAAGTGAGGGCAAAAGAGGTATGACTCAGGATATTAAGCCTCTGGCTATAAACCTGAGTGAAAGGTGGAGATATTTGATGAGAAAAGGAACATCAAAAGGGTGGGTTAGTGGTAGATCGATTGAATTGGAAACTGCTGTGGAACATCTAATTATAAGTTAAGGTTTAGAAAAGATATATGAGCTAGAAATATAGTTCAGGCAATCATCAAATATATTAATGATAATTCTAGCCATAGAAGTGGCTGAGATCACCAAGATGATAACAAAAGGAGATAACCCACTAATTAGATTAAGGATGGGTGACCAAAGAGAAGAAAAACCAGGAGAGTATGATACTATGAAATAGGACAAAAAACAAGGGGGAAATGTTTCAAGTAGCATGGTGAAGAAGTAAAAGTATCTATTGCGTTTGGTAACAGCAGCTCATGAATGACTTCGCAAAATGTTTAATAGAATTTGTGGGATAAAAGCCAAAGTAGAGCAGGTAGAATAGTATGTAGATATAAAGAAATGGAGAATATAAATACAGACAACACTTTGAAGAAGACTGGCTGAGAATACAAGAGTATTGTGATATGAAAGAAACATGGGTTGGAAAATATTATTCTCTACTAGGAGATGTGTTTGCTTTTTAAAAATATTGATCGAAGGAGCACGGTAGTGGAGATAGACTGAGGCTACAGGAGAGCAAGGAATGACCAAGATGATGGGTAACCTGAGTTGGTCCAAGGTGATGACATCAGGAGCATTAGTGGGAGGATAGTTGTTGGCAGAAGTTTGTATTACCTACTGATAATTAGGAATGGATGAATCCAGAAGTGGAACCATGCCAAGTAACAACAAGGTGCAAATTGTCACAGTCTTTTTCGATAAATGGCCCAAAACAAAACTTAAGAAAACATGGAGGCCTAGCACCTGACTTCAGATAGGAAATTACTAAAGAAACTGTAACTTTAATGATGTGTTCAGAGTAGAGCAAAAGAATTAAGTCCATCATTGAGTAATGTAATGTATTAATGTACACAGGTAAAAGGAAATCATTCATTCATCCATTTACCAAATATTGCTTGAGCACCCACTATGTACCAATGTACAGAACAGACAAAATCTCTGCCCCTAATGAGTTTAAATTATACTAAGGGGAGACATGCAATAAGTAAAATATAGAGAGAAATTTTATGAAAAGTTACAAGGTGACAAAAGTTATGGAGAAAAATAAAGCAAAGAAAGAGAATATGGAGTTTTGGGGATGGGGTGTCAATTTTAAATAAGGTGGCTAAGAAATTCTTTTCTGAGAAGGTGATGTCTGAATAAAGATGTGAAGGATATGAGAGTGTGAGCCATGTGGGTGTCTGGGAAAGGAGAACAAAGACCCCCAGGCTGCGGCAAGAGTGAGAGGTTGTGCTGTAGGAGTCAGTCACTGAGAGCAGAGACCACTGGAGAACCTCTGCTCCAGATTCCGAGGACCAACGTGAGCACCAAGATGGGAGCCGAGTCCATCAGCACATGCACTAGAACTGAAAACCAAAACGGGTAGAAGACTATACTAATCCTGTATTGCTAAGGACTTGGTAATTAAACACAGCCACATTAAAGCAATAAATATTGACTACAAGAGAGAAAATTTATTCTTAAGTAAAACCATACGTGATTTACCCATAGTGTTATTTTGATTTCTTTCGATGAATTCCTTTCATAAGTTTGAAGTTAAAGACTAATTTATATATACACATATTTTAAAAGAAACATCTGAAACAGGGACAGACCAAATGATTTTGTTGCTTAGTACACTAGTTCGCAAAATCTGGTTCCCAGCCAGCATTAGCATCACCTGAGAACACGTTAGAAACGAAAATTCCTGGGCATCTCCCCAGACCCTTTGTATCTGAAACACCAGAGGTGAAGCCCAGAAATCTGTGTTTTAACAAGCTTTCCAGACAACACCGAAGTGAGCAAACATTTGAGAACCAAGGGCTTAGGGAGAGTCAGGCAGGTCACCAGTTACCCAGACACGCGTACCATTGCTATCGCTCAAAAAGAACTGTGATTAAATGTTGCCAGGAAACTTGCCTTAAAATGTACTTGATATCTGATTTTTTTAAGTTATATAACTCAATATTATTAATATGATCACTATTATTATAGTTATCATTATTCTTATCATAGGTACTTAATTACATCTGTTAATTTATTGGTGTCAAATGATTGAATTAGCTACAAAACTGAGTTTGTTCCTGTCTATGGGGAAGTACTTTGCTGGAGTACTAGCGATAGCTGTTTACATGCTTTGCTTTTTATGAGCCTTGAGCACCCGGCAATGAAATAAGGAGGACTTTCAAAACAGAGTTCCCAACAGTTGTATTAAAAGCCAGATTTGTTGGTCCTTTTCTCAGTCACCTAATTCACTTGTGATCTAAATCTTCTCTCTGGTTTTTTCTGGATCTGGAAAAAAAAAAGAGAAAAGCTTTTGTTCAGTTATGTGGTTTAATTACCACTGTGTACATGATGATTTTCCCTCAGACTCATTCTTCGGTCATGTAGTCATTCACACACGATGTGTTGAGTACACTTATTGAATCAGTATGGCAGTCGCTGAATTGATATCTTCATTCTGGCGTTTACTACTAATAGGATCCTGGGCAAGTTACTTAATCTCTCTGTACCTCAGCTTCCTTATTTATAAAATGAATTTTATAACAATTTCTATGCTATAGGCTTATTGGAAGATAAACTTGAAAACACTTTTCTCAGTGTATCACTGAATAAATATTAGCTGTCCTTTTTAGGACCCTGTGTAAAATGCTGTGGGAGGTGCCAAAGACACAAAGATAAGCAGGACATGATCTCTACTCCTAAGTAATTCATATTTTAATTTGAGAGAAAATGATACATAAGAAATATTATGAATGATACATTCTAAAAATAAAGGAATTAGTACTTCTGATTTTGGACATGGTGGAATAACAGAGATTTTATTTAACCTTTTGACTTCAGCAACTGGAAAATGGCAAAAATACATTAAGCAACAGTTTTCAGACATTGGACAACAAGCAGCACAGGATTGCGATCATTGAAAGAAGAGAAACAAAGTGAACCCTACACCTGCCCCAGCTTGCAGGCTGAACACAGTTTCTAGGCTACAGCACAGGCACCGAGCATTCAGAGGCTGGCGGTGTCTCTCAATTGAGCAGACAGTGGTCAGAGTTTGGGGAGGCCAGGTGACTTGCATTTGCAGGAAAGAGGACCAGAGATGAGAGAGTTGCATAGAAAGAGAACTCTGGAGGTATGCAGACTCCAGACTGAATATAGATCTAGGCATACATTTAAAGAATTACCTGAAGGTGGGAAGGATCCACAAGAAATCAGTAGGCCAAATAATTCCCAGTGACCACACAGGGATGGAAACAGTTTTTATTTCTAACGGCCTGAGTGGAGAGACCTTTTAATATGTGGGGCATTAGACACGGTAATGGGGATAAATTATCCTGGAACAAATGCAAACCTCGCTTTTTCTTGAAAGAGTTTTAAAACAAGACTTGAAAGGATCAACCCGATCCACAAGTAACTTAAGTGCCTCGGAGAACAAAGTCTAACACTCCTTAAAAGAGCACAACCAAATCCATGACTTAACAACGTAAAATACACAACATTCATCATCCAAATAAAAATTTTTAGGCATACAAAGAAGCAGGATATTGTGATACATAGACAGGTGGAAAGTCATCAAAAGGAATAAACCCAGAAGTGATGGGAATTATCAGGCAACAAATATTTAAATAGCTATTATAGATATGTTCCATTTGCCTGAGAATGTAGAATGTAAAGCGATTTAATGATTAAATTGTTAAAGTGATTAAAAGCATTTATTATATAAAAACTCTCACATGGTAGTCACCATCATAATCATTACCATCATCGTATCCATTCTCTTTGTTCTAAACTTTCATGACTTTTAAAAGTCTTTGTTTATTTGTATTATTTTATTTTTTGCTGACAACCATTATACTTAGATGAAACATTATACTTGGCCATGATGATACCATATCCTCAAGGTGTTAGATAAAGAGCTTGGTAGGAAATTTTTTTGCCTGAAATGCAATATGCATGATCTGTAGACAAAACGCCCATAAAAACAGTTTTCATTAGTCCTTCTATCCTTTCTCTTGCACACAGGAATATATACAGGAGGCGGGACCCAAATTCCTATTGACCTCACCAATCTGTGGACACAGTGGAGGTCACAGTAATGGGCTCTTGCCCTTCTCACCCAGATGCATACCACAGGCTCTCACTCTCCTATGCAATTACTCCCACGTGTTTCTTGGCACCCCCAAGGGATGTTCCATGTGTGGTTACGAACTGTCACTTAAGATTCTCTGACTCTGGCTGTCCTTTGCTGATTTACACCACCTTTGAAGCCATTTGAAGGCATAGCTTTCTCATTGTCACTGCAGTCTATTCACTGTGTAAGAAAGCAGATGGCCACGACAAAGGAGCCATATTTCAATCATCCCAAAACAGTAAAGTATGGAAATGGTAGATATGCTACTCTGTTCTCTGGAACGCTAAGCTGTGTCCCAAGCATAAATTAGGAGAATCTCCATTATTCTTAATTCACCAGCTGGGCACAGATATAAGGCGGCTCATACCCCATGCCTCAGAGAGCCCTTCACTTTCTTCAAAGGGCCCTTCTGTTTATAGGATTTAAAAATGAATCGCATGGCTTGGGTAGACAAGCAATATCTGAAACAGACACCATGGTATCTTCGTCACCCTGCTGCTTCCCACAGGTACCCACCATCTCCAGCCAAAACTCCCGCGTACATTGACGAATTTCTTTGCCCACTAGTGTGTCACGTATTCTTAGACTTCATTTGGGTGCTCTGATGGATTCAAGCCTAACAGAATTCAGGCAGCATCA